ATTTTATGGAATGGGTTTAGATATATTGCAGCTATGTGAATGTAATGTACAATAAGATCATCTTCTGGCTGGGTCATATGATGATGATGCAATAATGCTAAAGAACTTCCTTTTGCACTGAATAGCTGATTCAAAGCCCATTGTAGTCAATAGAAAGACTCCCGTTGATTTCAATGGGCTGGGGATCAGGCCCACTGACTGACAACTCAGGGTTGTCAAGAATCACTTCAAGTTCCAAAGTGTTCCAGGGGTAACACCTGTGTCTATCAAGTGTTGAAGTTTACATGTAATGTATTGTCCTTTTGGAACGTGTGCCATAACTATAAGTTAAATGTCCTCATTTGCACTACAGATGTTCTTCTTATAAGACTGTACTTGTCAGCATCTTTACTGATAACTTACCTTGTGAATTTTTGGGAAAAAAAAATTAAAATGTTTCATAATTTATTTTGTTTGTCTAGTTTTTCTTTTTGTAATACATATGTACAGGTGGTTTGACTTTTAAACAGGGCTGTATAAAGATAATTCTGATTGCATTGAAAACAGGGTTAGTGATGTGCATGCAATATTGAATTTACACACTGTCTCATTGTATTGAAATGTTTTATACTCTGGATTAATGAGGGATCCTTTTGATGTGAATTTGATTTGTGAGCCATGAATTCTGAGTTATGGTGTAAAGTTATATAAAACCTCATTTTTATTTTCCAGTGACCATTTTTGTACAGAGGAATTGCTGAGCTACTGTATGACTGTCATTCGAATTGCATGGTACATTTCATAGCAGGGTAGTACACCGAACTAATGCTGTTTGGCACTTCTCTAACATAATATTACTCATCCATCCTCAAAAATATGAAACTTGTACAGTAGATCAGCTGCATTTGAATTAAGGATCGCTGCAAATATTAGAGATCCCAATCTTGTCCAATTACTGGCATTCTTAATGAACAGATTTTAAATGATCCAAATACATTTTTATCTATTTTAAATAGGATCACAATGCACTTGTTAAGAGTAAAAATAAGATTCTGTTCAATTACTGTCGGGGCTACTTATAGAAGTAACAATTCGTATGGTTAAAAAGTACACATTTTGGAGGTACCAGTATAAATAGCAGTGTCAGAATCATAGCATACTTTGCATATTAAAATGGTTTTAATTTTCTCTGTCTTCTATAGTCTTGAATCTAAGCTTTGACTAATTGAAGAGACTGATTAGTTCTGCAAATCTGACTGTACAGTCTTAGATTTTTCACATTTGGACCTTTGCACAATAAATGTTATGTTACCTTAAGTATATGGATTAATGAGGGTGTTCATGTATATGGTACTATACAGCAGAGGGTTTTCTCTGTCTGTAAATTTAAATGAACTATATTGTATATGTACTTTTAAAAATGTGTTAATCTATATTTAAAAAAATTTAAACATTGTTAAATAAATTCATATGAGAACACTTAATTCTGTCTGAGTGCTGTACTTTTACTTTACAAAAATAGTTTTCATTTTGACTGTATTTCCTTTGTTCATAACAGCCATAAAACCCTTATACATATTTTGACATAAAATAATACATATTGATATTATAAATGAACTGATTTGTTTAGTGGCGGATAAACTGGTTATAAGAGGGACAGAGAGGTTTCAGTGACTAGTGCTATAGCCTGAAAAACTAAGAATAAATCCTTTGTCCTTAATCTTGAAATCACAAAACTACCATACAATTTGGCACATCTGAAACTTAGCCAAGAGGGTCCCAGGACTGGAATAGTAAAGGTATTGCAGTTCAGAGTGGAAGTATTTTTGAAGAGCTGTTTGGGGAAGCTTGGGTAGCCCTTGCCTGCCTTATGGATACCCCTAATTCAGGAAAACACTGGAGAATATACTTGATTCCTATTGACTTCAGTGGAATTAAGTACATGCTTAAAGTTAAGCACGTGGTTAGTGCTTCCCTGAATCGGGACCCATATCTGGCCCAAGCCTAGTGCCTATTAGTAATTCATTTGCATATAATGTTAGGATATAGATATTCAGGCCTGTCTGCAAAGGCCTGTACTTTAAGAATTTTGGTGTATTCTTATCACTTGGCTAGTTATAGAGGTATAAAAGAAAATCAAAATCACTGTCTGCTGGTGTAAGGGCCTTCTCTTACTGTGACAGTCTGAGGCCTTGTTCTCAGGCTAAGGCCTTTGGCTAAGCAGCAGAGGCAGCCATAAGCTGGTGATAGGGAAAAAAACCCAGAAAATGACCCTATAATCATGTAAAGCTACTCTGCTGTCTTTTTTCTATGCTTATCTGTCCTTTCTACTTTGTGTATGGATAGAAAGAATGTGAACTGTGTGTAACCTGCACTCCCTGCTTTTGGGAAGAGTTAACACTGGGAAGCGACCGGGGTCACATCCTCACATTCCAAACTAGTCCCATTGAAAGAAGGTGCTATTGGGCTGTTAGGAATACAATCCTGTCCTGATAGTGCCTATCACCTCCAGAGAAAGGGAAGTGCCTAGAAAATATAAAAGGAAACTTAGTTTGATAGCATCCTGTCTGGCAAGAACTCACTTATCAATAGTTGGGACGTGATATCCTCATTTCTGTATTGTTTTGTCATTATAGTTCCCATTTTGCTATTGTTTGTCTGTATAATCTCTGTCTGGTTCTGTGATCGTTCCTGTCTGCTGTATAATTAATTTTGGTGGGTGTAAACTAATTAAGGTGGTGGGATATAAATGGTTACATAATCATGTTAGGATTGGTTAGTTAAATTTCAGGAAAATGATTGGTTAAGGTATAGCTAAGCAGAACTCAAGTTTTACTATATAGTCTGCAGTCAATCAGAAAGTGAGGGGGTGGGTGTGTGGGTGGGGGAAATGGGAACAGGGAATGGGGGTAAGGAAATTGGAATCATGTTTGGCTAAGGGCAGGAATCGGAACAGGGACACAGGTGTAAGGCTCTGTGGTGTCAGAGCTGGGAAGGAGGATACTAAGGAAGAAAACTGGAATCATGTTTGCTGGAAGTTCACCCCAATAAACATCGAATTGTTTGCACCTTTGGACTTTGGGTATTGTTGCTCTCTGTTCATGCGAGAAGGACCAGGGAAGTAAGTGGGTGAAGGAATAAGCCCCCTAACATATAACACCACTCATGTTTGTGGCATTTCATAGATACAGCAGGTAAAAATTGTAGTGACTGGTGCTTTTCAGAAATGAGGCTAAAATTAGCTCAATTTAGATAAATACAGCAGCTGCATTTAAAGAATGGCTGGAGGCAATATTTTACTTTCTGCCATAGCATGGAGCTATGGTTACCCCCCTATGAAGTATTCATTTGTTTCATCCACTTCAGCATAATTGTGTCATGCTACTGTAAGTGACAAGAAGGTGACAATCGATCTCCCGTTTGAACACTGCTGAAGGGGGAGGGGAGAATCATAGAATCATAGAATATCAGGGTTGGAAGGGACCTCAGGAGGTCATCTAGTCCAACCCCCTGCTCAAAGCAGGACCAATCCCCAATTAAAACCAGCTAGCATGTGCCCTTTGATCCGTGCAATGCCAGGATTGCTGTGGGATTACCGTATTGGGGGAGTAACACATGATGCCTTCCCAAGGCTCTTCACTGTACAGCCTGCAGCAGAGACCTTATGAAATGTGCATGAGCCATAAGATTCCAATTGATAGTGGACATAAAGACGTCTTATTGACGTCTAACAGGTCCCCTCCCCTGCTAATATTCTGGCTTTGTGAGGGAAGGAAGCCGGGATGGCGGATGGTCACGCAAATCAAGGAGTATTGCTTGTACAAGCATTTGCTGTCATGCTTTGGCCAATGCCCAAAGTAGAACTGTGTGACAAAGCTTGTACGTCACCAGCATATGCTGATCACCATCCCACAGGAGTGACAGCACGGCCTATGGAATTCTATAGAAATCAGTGTTTTTCAGTGGAAACGAGACAGGAGTTAGTGATGATCTTATTTAAACTTTCCCTTAACTATATTTATTTCACTTCCCTGGAATTTGGGAAATACAACTGCATAGATAAACAAATACGCAATTAACCAAGTGAATCAGATTAAAAATTTGCTATACCTCTGTAGAGGTCTCAGAAGGCTGTGTTTAGTTTAGATTCATCAGTTCCTAAAGCAAATATCTCTCTGCTTCCTATGGGAAGGGGGCACCGTGGATGGACTCATGAGGCCTTCTACAGGACCCAGGAAAGCTACGGATATTTCCGCTGTCCAGGGAGAAGAGAGCTGTGAAGGGACACCGTGGAGCTGAGGTAAGCAGGTCAGAGGGGTGGCCAGTTGATGTACAAACAGCATGGGGGTTGGTGGGTCCTGTAGCCCAAAGCAACACAAAGAGAGGAGCAGCAGGTTGCATCCACCAATGTACCCTCCACCATGGAATGGTTTTGCTACTGTTATGACTTAAGCCCTGTCCTCTCTGAGTGTGGAGTAGAGCCCTTTCGCTGAATCAGGTATTCATTTATATACCTAAACTACCAAGAAAACAATGCAAAACCTTTGGATGCATTCATCCCACATCTCAGCTCAGTGAGAGTTCTTTAGGGTATGGTTTTGCTACAAATGCAATGTGCTGCCACACCGAAGATTTCAGCCGTAATGGGAAAGAGTTGTATTTAGTTCCTGGAACCAGAAGCAACTAATACGTCCAGCAAAAATGGAATCCCATACTTAGAATGTGTATTATTTTATTAGACAAGTACTTGCTCAACACAAGGCTTTGTTTTATGCTAACAGCCAGTGAATCTGCAGCATTTGTCTGCTTTTTCCAGTTAAGTAGCTAAGGATATTCTGATAGCAATGAGGAGGTGAATCTGGAGGCTACAAAAGTGTGTGAAACTTGGTAAATTGTTACCCAAATGTACACGTTCTCTTCTTATGGCTGAGCATACGATGCTTCAAAATTTCAGAGTTTAAGGGACAATATTTTCAGTTCTCTTAGGTGTTCCATCATCAGGTTTATTTATTAATGCGTTTAGTGTTAGAATTAACCAATGATGCCCAAAGCACAATAATATCTTAATAACGTAAATGCCTTGAGTCAGGGGAAGATCAAAGGGATATGACACAAGACTGGACAATGGTGTTTATGTTGCATGAATAGATTGAATATATTGTGCAAGAGCCTGATTTATTCAAGTGGCAAAGCTATCATTAATTTGAATAGGAACAGCAACAGACCATATAGACCTAATCCGCTACCCACTGGAATAACTAGTGGGCAGTAGATCAGGCAATAAAGCCCAAATCCTCAGAGGCACCTAACTCCCATTGTTTTCATTGTTTTCAATAGGAGTTAGGTGCCTAAATACCTTTGAGAACCTGGATCTTAGTGAATTACAATGTTTTTAAGGTTAAAATCCCATTGAATACAAAGTCCGGGTTACTTTCTTTCCCATTGGAATGACATCTATTCTCAAATACTTACCCATGAGTGATCGAACAAGGAGGATCGTTATGAGCTTTAAAAATATCAGGCCGGTTCTTCTGATGATGTAAATATGCATAGCTCCATTGAAGTCAATGGAGTGACATCAATTTACACTAGCAGAGGATCTGGTTGCTAGTTCTAATTAACTCTGAATAATACAATGAATGTTAAGTTATGGAGATAGATGCCAAACAATTATCTTTTCATAACCTAGAATCAAGTCTCGGCAGAAATCAGTATCACAAATCCTGCAGCTACTTCCATGTGAGTTTTTAATAGGTCTGTGCTTTCAGGTTATTTTACATCATGAGAACCAGTGTTACATGTTAATAAATCTCAAGAATTTCCTACTGATCATAACAATACTTGCACTGGTTGACATTAAAACTTCCAGACCCTTGAGATTGTTGGCAGACAAGGTAATGCGATATTTTTTCAGTCGCTGCAAAAGCTCACAGTATTGTATCCTTCAACTCAAATTCTGTCCTCTGCTACAAACACGCGACAGTGACTTCAAAGGTAGAGGTATGCTCAAGAATGAAGGTAGAATTTGGCCATTTACAATGAATGCATTTTTTTCCTTTTTAACCACATGCACTCTGAACCCCCTGCGTAAATATTTATCTTCAAAGAGAAAAATTGGTTCTATTAAAATTGTTTATTAAAATGCAAAATTTTAAGAAAAAACAAATTAGGGTTTGTTTTTTGTTTGTTTTTTTTTTACATTCTCCAACAACTCTTAATCAGGCAACCCACAGAAAAGCAATAGAAAGCTTTAGCTCTGTTGATTAACCACTTGTTTTATCTTTTATCCACTTGGTGTACTTTGATACTCTGGTGTAGATACCATATTTGCCCTTCAGTGCACACTCTTCCCCCCAGCTGGTTATTCCAGTTAGAAACCAGGTACCTTCTATTTCTGAAGTATGAGGGCCCCCGCTGTCCCCTTCACATGTATCTTTAGCCTCTGAATGGTAACCCGCACAGAACATATTATGTAAGATAGAAAACGTGCTGCTTTTCATGCATGTTGCACGGTCAACAAATGGGACTTTCAGAACCTGTAGGACTGTGGCCACCCTTCCCCGGAACAGCTGGCTCCCCCAGCCACTCACGGTGCCAGTTCCATACTTGAGGAGGCTGTTGGTGAATTCCCTGCTGGCAATGCAAATGGGGGTGACGTAGCTGTTGAACTCCAGCGGGGTCTCAAGCTCTAACAGTGCTATGTCATTCTCATGCTTGTTTTTGCTGGCATTATAGGTGTGATGCGGAAGGATTTTCACCACTTGGCGATACTGCTCGGTACCGTCACTGACTTCCGTGTTGTGTTCACCTGGTGAAAGAAATGTCATGCTGTTTACAATTACAAGCAACCTGTGGGTGACTAAATACACTCTCAGCGTTAGTAACTACATGCAACTGATACTTCTAGTGTCACTAAGGATCAGCTGGGAGCCAAAATGTCATAAGTTCAAATCCCACACTGGGAATTGGCTCAGACCCTTGCTGATAGTGCGCCGCACTACAAGGAGATATTAGATGTGCCGTCTGTTGGATGAGACAAGGTTCACTCTGCCTGCCGCTGTATAATCTCTTTGTTGCTGTGTGTTTGTGCCAATGCAATCTATTAACAGATCTGACTAAGGCCCTGATCCTGCAAAGGGAGACATAGGCAAAAACTTGCCAGCTGCAGAACTGAGGCCAAAGTGTGTGATTATTTCCTCAGCTAGGGCCTGATCCTGCCCCCTTTTGAAATTGACTTCATTGGAAGCAGGATCAGTGTCTGCCCTACAAGGAGTAGGAAACCAAATACCAGTGATAGCTCATGAGTAGTTTCCTTATGCTATGTGACAGAGTCCAGTGCTGCAGGAGCAGGTTATGAGTTATGTCCCTTATGGTGCAAATGCAGCCCATTGATGAGTGTGTGCTATGGGCTCTCCGCTGTGCCAATCCAGGGAGAAGATGAATTGCTACAGTCCCCAAATCCAGAGTCTTGGCTCTTTACTTCAAGCTGCAGCAGTTCATACTTTTAGCTCTAGAGGTGCCTGATGCAATGACCACCCTCTTGAGGTGACAGACCAGGGACAACATGAGCTGCTATGGTTGTCTGAGTTAATGCTCTATAGCTGAGGGCTCTAACAACTCATATCCTTTGCGGAGCAACACAGAGGGGAACCTGCAACACACACACACCAGTGGGTTACACATACATCAAGTTTAGCTGACTACGTTGAATGATGCATCAGCCCAGAGACAGTGGCTGCCCAGCTAAAGATCCAATAGTACTGTGTTTAAAAAAACAACCAACCAACCAACCCAAACAGTTGAGGCTAACCCTGGCCTCGTAGCCCAAACATTTCCTTTGAAAATAGGGGGTGGTGATCAAAGTTTTGCAGTGTTTGGGATAACAGAAGTTTGGCGATTCTTTGCAGAGTTGTAAGGGGGAGTGTTGTCCTGGGATATTACAAAGTCTCTGGAACCAAGAATATTATCTTTTAAAACAGACCCCTTACTAGCAAACAATACTTCAGACCAACAGCAACCTGCAAACATTCTGTATCTTTGCCAGAAGGACCGCAACCCCATAGAGTGAGATGCAGGTAGTTGTTGCCAGCAACTGGAATATTAGGCCCTACAAAGCAAGTAGATACAAAGTCTCTGTTCCAAAGCCAATCTTTCCCAGCTCCGGCAGATCCCCCTCCCGCAGCTTCCTACACTTTCCTCTGCTGAGGATAAACATCAGCAGAAGGCAGTTTGCTGTTTAGGGCTATTGCAGCTGATTTGTTGGCAGGCTATTCCCTTCCTTAAAAGATTTTTCTAGACAAAAAGGGGGAATTTGTCAAGACTTCAGGTGTTTTGAGTCTGCACAGCATTAAGATTTGTCTGGCGGCAGTCAGAGAAGTCTTTTCCCACCCAAAGGAAAGTCTACCTGCCCAAGTAGCTTGCTAACTAGCTCTGCAAGGAAACCAGCAGCAGAATCACTCCCCCCTCCCCCTGCTCTGACCAACATCCTAAATCTGCAGGTAACTAGGATGGGATGGAGGGGAATCTTGAGCCCTGATCAACAGCTTGTCACAAACAACCCGCTTCTCTTTATTTGTGGCCCAAAGTGGGTCAGGCATGTTTTGCCTCTGCCTCAATCTTTCTAGGAGCTTCGCTGCAATCTGCAGGATCTGAGCTGGCCTGTCAAGCGTAGTCACAGTGCTTCTGGTTTTAACGGTGTATTGGCTTCCTGCTGAACGTGCAGAGAGAGCCTGAAGTCCTATCATCAGTTAGCTGTCTGCGTTCATGTGAATGTTATCTGACGAGGGCCACTATGGCAGCTTTGCTCACTACACTGCTCCTGGGCCACGCTCCGTGTGTGTGTGTTTTCAGTGCATTAGGATATGAGAGATAAATGAAGGAGTAGGGATTTCTTTTCAGATGACATTACTAAACTGTAAAAATAAGACACACATGGGGGAGACTTTGAGGGTTTTTTTTTCTTATTGGTATTGCCGCATAATTGTTGGGGGACAGGCTAAACATATGCCCTATATGGAATTTGTGGGGGTAATTTTAATGCCTTTATTTTTGTTTGCTAAATATTTCAAGTGGGGGGCGCTATTGTGCTACAACTAAAGCTAGGTGTTTGGCATGGACGGAGGGGCAAGTGCGATATGCATGATGTTTGGCATATATTCCAAAGTCACTGTGAAAACCGGCAACCCCCGATCTTTCCCCCTCTTTCCTTGGTGCCTGTCCATCAAATCTACTCTAGTAAAACCCAGCTGTGCTGCCGAACAATCCTCCTGTATCCCAATCGGAGGGGTGTGAAATTTCTGTGATGAAACTAGAAATGGATGAACTTGCTACAAAATGCAAACCCAGAAACAGACCCATTTCCAAGCGAAAAAAAGGGCCCTTCTAGCGTGAAGCTGTTTCCGCTGTATAAAGAGCGGAAGTTGTGTACTCGCAGTTTAACAGATATGCTCTATCACCCTTGTGAACTTTCATGGAGGCAAAACTGGTTGAAAGTAAATGGTAGAAAATGTGGCACTCAACCTTCTGTAGACCCTGATCCTGTGCAGGCCCAGACGCACCCTGTACTAGTATGGAGTTCTGCTGAAATCAGTCCCAGGGGTCCACCCAGGCAGAATCAAGGGCCAAGAGAGCAAAAGTAAGTAGTGGATCAAAATCCAATAAGTGCCTTGAGCCATTCTCGTTGATGGGACTTGTGCTCCCTAGTCTCTTAAGCCTTTTTGACAATCCCACTCTTAATGTCTGAGTTGGTCCAATTTAAGTGACAGTTATAAATATACCCAGATCACCTAACTTTTATTCTGGGTGTGTTGCATGTTTCAATTGAATCTGTTGTTATTGGCGGCTGCTGCTAACTAGATTTGTGTCCCATGTGCTCAGCAATTATAATATGAAATACACACTTCATAAACAACGTGAGGAAACTGACTTGTGCCACACCTGTGAACCATCATCTTTTTACCCTTGCCTTAGTTACGGTGCCCTGCATTGAATTATCTTCAGATTTCCCACAGGCAATCAATAAAAGCTGAGGGGGGGGGGAGGGTGATGGGAACAGGGGGTTGAGATCGGAAATAGCATTGGTAAAGATGCAATGAAGTCATTTTGTGGATGTGTCAGTTTTGGCTTCCTGGCGCCTGTCTACACCTCACAGGGATGTTGTTGTGCATGGAAGTTCAGTTCTCTACTTCAGTCCATAGTTTCTACTTTTTACAGAATTTCAGTCTTACAGGATCCATTTCTGCTTCTGCTGATCCCTTAATTAAGTCTCAGATCCGTGTGACGTTTTGGGTGAACCGTTATTTTTATGAAAAGCTTAAAGCCTCACAAGAATGGAACCAGAAATGCAGTTTTTAGCCACAGGCGAGACACTAGTTGGTCCATGTATTTGGAGCTGTGCGGCACACTGCCACCGATAGTCCCATATTAGGGAAAGCCAGAGATGCTCTTATAAGCAGAGCCCTGCAAATCTGCGGATATCCGCTTTATAGCCACAAACGAGGATATCTGCGGAGCACTTTTGCAGCTCGGATGCGGATCTATTTATAAGGTATTTCACATTTTGTGTCAGCTAAGGCTTCTGAGGGGAGACTGCTCCTTGTCATATTCTGAGTGGTGGTTTTATGGATTTTTGCTCCACTAAACAGAGACCCATAAACTCCTCCCTTTTAGGCTCTTGTTGTTGGGAGCCATGATCCTGGAGACAATATTAAAGCCACCTGAACTTACCTCTTCTAATTTACTATGGGCCAGATTTTCAGTTGGTGTAAGCTGGTATAGCTCCACTGAAGTCAGTTGACTTTTTAACGGAGCTAAGCCAATTTATACTAGCTAAGGACCTGGCCCTACATCTTTTGTTTTCTACAGTCAGTGGACACCTTTAAAGCCCGCTACATTACAACTCTAGCGGTACCATGGCACAGTTGTCTGGCCTGGAGAGAGGCATCCATGTTCTAATACAGTTTGTATGTACAGCTGGAGTGGGATAATGTGACTATCAGGCTGTAACACAAACCTTGTTCCCTACCTGCCAAAAACCATGTTGTCCCATCAATGTAACAAACCCACCCCCCTGGAACATGGGTGTCAGGCACAGGTCTAGTGGCATAACTAGACTTGTGTGTGGGGTGGATCTTAGGGGAAGCTTTGCCATGATAAACATGTTTAAACTGGATAGCACCAATTTTATTTAGCATACCTAACTGAATATCCACTAATGCATTCAGACCTCCTTTTGCTTACCTGCCACAACAGTAATCTGTGCGCCAGGCACAATGCAGTGCGCTGCTGTTACGATCCATTTTTCATTGACAATAGACCCCCCGCAGAATCCTACTCCATTACTGTTCTGTAAATGAACCTACGGAAAGAGAAATCCAAGCCTTGGGTGCCACACAAACCAGTAATGAAGGGAAATCAAACATCATAGGTATATTAAGGGAGCGGACAAGGGGTAAGGAACAGCCACTGCTAAGTGGTACATGCAAAATTGACACTGTGAAAGCAACTACCCACTTTTCCTCATGCAAGAAGGCAATTTCTGATGAGTTCCTGAGTGTCCTTCCTCCCTTCTTGAGGTATTCCTGTCCAGTCCTGCTGGTTTGACCACATTTCACAAGACAACCTTATCAATGGCTAAATATCATCTCCCATTCCTCCTCTGGCTAGGTCATGACAAGGGGAAACCAATCTGACACAACATGAAGTTCAACTCGTCATTCCAGACAGACTCGTGAACAGGTTATATTGGACACTGGTGAGAATAGTGGCAATGGACCAGATCCTCTGCTATATTAAGACACTAAGTGCTGCTCCTGTGGTAGCCAGGGGATACAGGCCTACATGTTTTGCATTCCAAAACTTAATTTCAAATTAAATATGCAAATTTACTAGGCACAATTAATTTAGAAGAGGGATTTCCCAACCATGTTCCTTAAATACCACATGACTGCTACTAGATATCAGCTTCCTCCTGTAAGTGTACCTGCTGCCTCTTTAGCTCTGAGAAGCAGAATTTTAAGCATGAGAGATCAATACTCATAACTAAGAGACGCAAGCCTACATACTACAAGAGGTTTGCACCAAACAGGATCTGCTCTGCAATTAAAGATCAATACTTTGTACCTCGCAGCTCTCTGTTAATAAAGCACAGTATCTATTTGTACAGATGAAAGATAAATGCCCCTGTTATTCCAACCATGTTTTATTTTGGCAAGAGAGAACTCTAAGTAATTCAGTTGTAGACTTGAAGGTACCTGGCCACCGGAGGGCAGCTATAGATTGAAAATTACAACACTAACCCAGCTACTTAAATATCAGGCTGTGAAAGTATCAACATAATTTTTAAAAAGTATTTGCTACTGATTTGAGATGCGGCCCAAGCTAATCTCCAGATCCAACTGTTTCCAAGATCTGAGACAGTTTAGATGAAGGTCTGAATTCTGTGTCTTGGGCCCATGTCCATTAGCAATGTCTTAGATTTCAAGTGACGTTAAAGGCCTTCTCTAACATTAATCAGGCTGTTTGTGCCCGTCCACCACAGAACTTACAGCACCATAAATTCTTGCCCAGAGCTGGTATAGTGGTGCATGTTGTTAGTAGTTCTGGGCTATCTTTTCCCTGTGTCCTTGTCTGTCTCAGGTAGACTGGCCTGGGTGTAGGGTTTTCTGCCTGAAGTTATCCATTGCAGCCACTAGAAGCCTCTCGTTCAGCTGTCAGGAGGGCTGCCTTTCTTGTGCTCTCCAGCTATCTTCCTGCATGGGGTGACTTGTTCACTCTTTAGAAACCATTCCTCAACAAGAACTCTGCACAGAAACATGTAGGGGTGGTGGAGAGAAGAGAATATGGACCAGAGAAAGCATGGGGGGGTGGGAAGAGGTGGAGGAGAGAGACAAAGGGGGAGAAAAATAGGTGGATCCAGAAGGTGACTCCACACGTGAGAGTGTGGGGAAGAATGCCCCAAGGTGAATGGAAAGGGGACACAGAAGCGGGAGATAGCTTGGAAAAAACCCAAATGGAGTACTGGGCCACTCAAACACATTGCAGGAGGCAGCAGAGCTTCTGACCATTGCCAACTCTTACACGGTAGCAGGTCTACTAGCTACTTCCCCATATGATGGGGATACAAACTGGAAACGGGGAGGCACCCATGTTTAGGGCAGCAGGAGAGTTGCGTGGCTTGGTAAAGGCCTCTCGAGAGTTGGCTAAGCATTGGAATTTGAAGGGGTTTTTCCAGTCCCGTGTGGTTTCCCCTTCACTCTTTTTAAATGTGTATCCTACCGTCGTGTCTCCTATATATGATTTTATGTCAATTGAGATGAGTCATTGTATAGTGGTGTATCATCACCATGCAACATATGGAGCCAGAGAACGCAGGGCTTTGAGCATCTCGGGGCTGGTAGTCCGAGCAAGACTGCAAGCTTTGTCATTCCTGGAGACGATGGATCTCTTTTTTCCCCTGATGCACCTAAATGTTGATTTTTTATGTCAATTTTGGGGCCCTGACGTCTGTCAGTTTTGGAGTCCATAGAAGAACCTAGCGTCAACTTGTGTGTGACCATCTATGTTCACATAAACACAACTGTTTTGCTGTCATCCTTACGGTGTAAGGCAAATGGTCACTTCTGCCAGCTGCTGACCTTCTAACTTAACCCCCTTTCGCTTCTTGGCTTCTTCAGCAAAGCTCTCTCTGCCTTTTACTGAGCTCCCTTTTCACTACTTGGCTTCCCAGAAACACCTGCTGAAGAATGTCATTTTCCCTCTGTTTGAGACTGGATTGAAATACCTCCACTTGATCTGTCTGAGTGAAAATTTTATATCCCAGTTTGTGCAGCATCTATTCATTGGTCTTACAATCCCCATTACCAGCTGTGCTGGGGCTCAAGTTATTAAAAGATTGTCCCTCATACTAATTTTATTAGTTCACTGTTTAACTCTCTCAGCCATCGCTGGATACATCCACCTCATCTAAGCCAGGATAACTGTGGAAGACTTTGAAACAGGTTCCATTTAGTAACAATTTCTTCTGCACCTCTTTTCTGCTGCTCCTCGTTTTTACAACTGCTTACATAGCAGTCGGTGGGTGGAGTTTTATTTGCATTTCCCTGCTCCAGACATCACAATATCTCTGTTTTATTACATCCCTGTTGGTTTGGATGGAGATGGCTGTGATGTCACAATATCCGTTTGTGACTTCAGGTGAGGAATGAGCAGATGGAGGAGACGAGACTCCTTCAAATATATATAGGACCAGTTTTCCTGTTGATGTAAATTATCATAGCTTCATTGAAGCCAGTGGAGGTACACTGACTTACATCCGCTGAGGCTCTTGCCCAAACTGTGTACTCATATAGGTGTTCCATGGTAAGAGAGTGTGAGCAAGGAACATAGCAATTATTTATATGATGCCATATGTGTGCCTGGCACTTGCCAGGCAAAATGAAGTCCCTGACCCAAATCTAAGACCTAATCTTGCAAGTGTTGGCAGACCCTTCTGGAGCCCCCTCAAATCAGTGGGTTTCTGCCTGGGTGCAGAAGTCTGCCCACGTGGGTCCATCTGCAGGATCAGAACCTTTAACTGTAAATTCTGATTCATTCAGTGACAATATCATGAAAAGCAGCCCACAGTTTAGTCTGAAGTATTAAAACCTGGCTCTCTCCTTTCTTCACTGTGAAGTTGTGTCCCAAAATGTCAACATGTCCCCATAAGTTTTGCTTGATCACAGAAGTCTTCCCCTTCGACTGCTTGCAGTGAAGTGCTTGGTGCGCTCATGTACTATTCTGCCAGCAACCAAATCTGGTTGGATTGTCCCGTTTGGACAAAGATGCAGTCACTCTGTCTCCTAGCATGTTGCCAATATGGCTCTGAACTGGGCAAAGTATGTTGCTACAGCATAGATAATGTACATGGGCCAAAAGACTCTGAGATTTTAAGTGCATCAAAGAATATATAGGAGAAATGCTGCTGTGTACAAAATGACATGAGAGCAATCAAGTTTAGCAGGATAACAAACAGGAACAGAACATCCAGTACCTGCCAAGGAACTTCACCTTTCCTGCTTTCCACTCCACCAACGACTCGTGTAACTTGCTTAATGATGGGTGTGATTTGAGTGGTATTGTCTGTTGCTTCGTCATGATCATCGGTAGAATTGTAGTTCCACTTGTCAAAGGTATTCATGGCCCGGGTGTACTTGCTTTTGGCTTCGGGAGCTGTAATCCTCCCACATGGAAATGGCACTGTGAAAAGAATGTACAGATTCATAAAGCAGCACTTCAGCTGGCCATGCATCATATTAAGTGTTATTACCAATGAAGTGGCAAAACTGGAGATAAATGTTTCACACATCTCACCGGCAGGATGATAAAGGAGCTCTAGGGGAGTGGGCTGATTCAAGTGGTTCATGTTTATGTTTGAATTAATTGATGGTGATGTAAGTAGCTCTAATAGTCAAATAAACACAACAATAAACTCCATCCGAAGGTCAGGAATAGGAGCTCCAAGCGATAAGCCTTTGGTAGTGCAAGCACAAAGCTTTCCCAGGTTTTAGAAATCAATTTTGAGGACTTTAAAAAGGAAAAACCAACAACCCTGTGTGTATGTGCACATGTGGATACGATTAACTCAGGTCTTTATTCAGCATGGTACTGGCATATGCCTAACTTTAGGATCAGAATAGTTCAATTGACCTAAGGGGGTCTACTTGCATGGTTAAAGTTAGCATGTATCTGGCTGAATAAGGGCCTCACATGGCATAACTCTGCTGTAATGTAAAAAGGCTAATGTAGTGCCCATCTTTAAAAAAGGGAAGAAGGAGGATCCTGGGAACTACAGGCCAGTCAGCCTCACCTCAGTCCCTGGAAAAATCACGGAGCAGGTCCTCAAGGAATCAATTCTGAAGCACTTAGAGGAGAGGAAAGTGATCAGGAACAGTCAGCATGGATTCACCAAGGGCAAGTCATGCCTGACTAATCTAATTGCCTTCTATGATGAGATAACTGGCTCTGTGGATGAAGGGAAAGCAGTGGACGTGTTGTTCCTTGACTTTAGCAAAGCTTTTGACACGGTCTCTCACAGTATTCTTGCCAGCAAGTTAAAGAAGTATGGGCTGGATGAATGGACTATAAGGTAGATAGAAAGCTGGCTAGATTGTCGGGCTCAACGGGTAGTGATCAATGGCTCCATGTCTAGTTGGCAGCCGGTATCAAGTGGAGTGCCCCAAGGGTCGGTCCTGGGGCCGGTTTTGTTCAATATCTTCATAAATGATCTGGAGGATGGTGTGGATTGCACCCTCAGCAAGTTTGCAGATGACACTAAACTGGGAGGAGAGGTAAATACGCTGGAGGGTAGGGATAGGATACAGAGGGACCTAGACAAATTGGAGGATTGGGCCAAAAGAAATCTGATGAAGTTCAACAAGGACAAGTGCAGAGTCCTGCACTTAGGACGGAAGAACCCCATGCACCACTGCAGACTAGGGACCAAATAGCTCGGCAGTAGTTCTGCAGAAAAGGATCTAGGGGTTACAGTGGACGAGAAGCTGGATATGAGTCAACAGTGTGTCCTTGTTGCCAAGAAGGTCAATGGCATTTTGGGATGTATAAGTAGGGGCATTGCCAGCAGATCGAGGGATGTGATCATTCCCCTCTATTTGACATTGGTGAGGCCTCATCTGGAGTACTGTGTCCAGTTTTGGGCCCCACACTACAAGAAGGATGTGAAGAAATTGGAGGGAGTCCAGCGAAGGGCAACAAAAATGATTAGGGGACTGGAACACATGAGTTATGAGGAGAGGCTGAGGGAACTGGGATTGTTTAGTCTGCGGAAGAGAAGAATGAGGGGGGATTTGATAGCTGCTTTCAGCTACCTGAAAGGGGGTTCCAAAGAGGATGGATCTAGACTGTTCTCAGTGGGAGCTGATGACAGAACAAGGAGTAATGGTCTCAAGTTGCAGTGGGGGGGGGTTAGGTTGGATATTAGGAAAAACTTTTTCACTAGGAGGGTGGTGAAACACTGGAATGCGTTACCTAGGGAGGTGGTGGAATCTCCTTCCTTAGATATTTTTAAGGTCAGGCTTGACAAAGCCCTGGCTGAGATGATTTAGTTGGGGATTGGTCCTGCTTTGAGCAGGTGGTTGGACTAGATGACCTCCTGAGGTCCCTTCCAACCCTGATTATTCTATGATTCTATGTACAGCCTAAGTCCTTGCCACCTAACCAGCAGTTTTAGTAAGAGACTTCTAGGGGCTTGGAGTTGTGTTGCATGGAAAGGATGTCACAGGATGGGATCAGAAATGAGAGGTTCAGGGTGTGTGAATGCGGGGGGGGCTCCAGGCTGGGGCTAAGAGTTTCAGACTGCAGGGGGGAGCAGGTGGCTCTGGGCTGGGGCGGGGGGTTGGGGTGTGGGGTGTGTGTGAGGGGTTTGGGCTGGGGGTGCAGACTCGGGTGGTGCTGGGGATGAGGAGTTTGGGTGTCAGAGGGTTCTCGGGGCTGGGGCCAAGGGGTTTGGAGGGCAGTAGGGGGATCAGGGCTGGGGTAGGGGGTTGGCGCGCTGGGGGTGAGGGCTCTAAGGTGGGGCTGGGGATGAGGGGTTTAGGATACAGAAGGGGGCTCTGGTATTGAGGGGTTTGGAGGGCAGGCGGGGGATCAGGGTTGGGGTCAGGGGTGAAGGCGCCAGGAGGCACTTATCTCAAGCAGCTCCCGGAAGCAGCAGCATGTCCCTCCTCTGGCTCCTATGCGGAGGCACAGCCAGGCAGCTCTGTGAGCTGCCCTAGTCCGCAGGCACCACCCCCGCAGCTCTCACTGGCTGTGGTTCCTGGCCAATGGGAGCTGTGGAGCTGGTGCTTGGGGTGTGGGCAGCGTACAGAGACGCTTGGCTGCCCCTACACATAGAAGCCGGAGGGGGGACATGTTGCTGCTTCCGGGAATCACGCAGAACCACAGCAGGCAGGGAGCCTGCCTTAGCCACGCTGCACTGCCGACCGGACTTTTAACGGCCCGGTCAGCGGTGTTGACCAGAGCCGCCAGGGTCCTTTTTCAACCGGCTGTTCCGGTCGAAAATCGGACACCTGACAACCCTATCCCCTGCCTGCTATGAAGCTTTCCAATGAACCCCGCCTCACAGTCCAAGACTGTGGACCATACTGTGAATGGGAAGCCTACAAGCATTTCACTTACACCACCGACCCATGGTGGTGGCCACATGCAATCATGCTTCCCAGAGATCGCCACTCTGATTCCTCTGTGTCTAGCTGGTTCTGCCTGCTCCCCCTTCCAACCCAGTCATTCCTGGAGCAATGGCAGCTTATACTCTTAACCTGGCTTACTAGCTAACTGCTAGGAGTCCTGACACCCAGCAATTGTTGCTGCCAGAGAGATGGTGGGGAATCTCGAATGGGAGGGGACATGCCTAGGGGACAATCTCTCTCTGGAGATGATCTCCACATTCTGAATAATTTTGAGAGCCTTAGTAGATGCGGGGAAGGGAGATTAATTGTGCCCTATAGTGCCAGATCCCTTCAAACCAGCTGACATTGGACTCTGGTTCTACTCAGTAAAGCAGTCATGGAAATGTGACATTTCTTACCCAACAGATCTGCCCCTTGTTTGTGTCAATCAAACCTGGTTACTTTTGTGACGAAAGTAATTGCTTACTACTTCTCGCTCCTGTTTGCGCTTCACTGTTCCTGTATTCCACTCTACCAAACAACTCACATAATTCCCAGTTACAGGTTCTATTCCATCTTTTGCATCAGAATCAGAATTCTTTTAGCAAAGTTCCTATCAGCTGTACCTGTGCAAATCAGCTTGAAAACAATAGGGCCACAGGGAAATGGCTGATTTTGTTCCGCAAAACCTCTATCACTAATAGTGATGCACAAGAAGAAGCTGCTTATTTTCTGTGGTGTTCAGCTTGCTTCCCAGAACGATGGCTGTACTTGTGCCTGAGAGATTCATGGTAGGCACGTTGCAATAAATCAAACATATAAAAAGGTATCAGAGAGTTTGGGAAAGCCGACGGGAGGGTTCGGAACATCAGAATTAGAAACCAAGAAAATCAACTCTCCTGTTGCACATTTATAGACAGAGATTTCTCCCACTGTGCTTGCTTATTATAACTGACATTTCTATAGCAACTAACTACAGTGCAATATAAATATAGCATGTGTCTGAGCTAGAACATCGTGGAAATTATACATGTAAAGGTAAATATTTTACAATCGATGAAGGTGAGAAGACTATTAAAAAGCTGTTGATGGATTAGTAAATGCATTTTAGAGTTTTTAAAAACAAGTTTCCATTTCTAAGTACTTTAAATGCAGACCGTTAACTGTTATTTTTAAGAGCCACATCTCACTTACTTTATATGAGATCATATCTTTTATTGGATCAATTTCTCTTGGTGAAAGAGACAAGCTTTGGAGCCACATAGAGCTCTTCTTCAGCTCTGTGTAGCTGGAAAGTTTGTCTCTTTCACCAAGAGAAATTGATCCAATAAAAGATATGACCTCACACAGCTTGTCTCTCGAATATCCTGTGCCCAACATAACTGCAGCCACATTGCAGACAGAGTTAACGGTTCTTTTCTATGACCACTTACTTCTCACTTACTTTATATGCACAGCTAGTAATATATCAAATTGGGGACACGTAACAAGATAAAGTTGTTTCATTATTTTTTTAAAGTAAAGCTTCCTTCTAAAGTTGCAACCATGAAAATCCATGTACTTCCTTTTAAAGATTTTTTTTTTACCTCCTAAACAATAGATTTAGGCTGCATATTTTAGCATCAACTGCATGTCTTTTTCTTACTACCAAGTGGTGGAATAGAAATAGCACCCAAAAGCAGCACCAGCTTAGCATGTCTCCAGTGAAGACTTCTCAAATAACTTGTAGGACAACCTCCCATGATGTTCAAAGATGGGATCTAGCCCTGTTCTGTACCATCTGTAGGCTGTAGCCCATTCTGACTGGATGTAGACTTTCTCCATCCTGTCTACTGTAATCAAAAAGCCCACAGCATCCCAAATATGAAGAATGTGGGTTCAACAGTATAATAGCTCTTGCTTGCAAGAACTCATGTGACATGCATGCCTGTGGGCATGAGAGAAGCTGGGCACATGGCTAGAAAGTTGGGGGGCTCCATTTAGAATGTTGTAAGGGGGTCATACTGGTCCATTGACAGGAAAAGTAGACATGACCTATAGATGGGTCTCTGGCCACCTGAAACAAGCAGTGATCCCAATGTCTACTCTTAAGCATCCCATTCCTGCTCTGCAGAATGGTGGACTTAGTGTGGCCCTATTTTTTCTATGTCTTGTTTGGGGAAGGAGTTTATGCCACCAGCTGCACGTGTGGCCCTTATCTGCAACAAAATGTCCACGGTTATTGCTAACCTGCTACACTACACATTTCATAACATGCTTTATGAAACAACCAGGCTGGGAGTTCCAAAGCCACCAAGGGGATTTAGATGCATTAATTTCAATGACACTCTGTGCCTAAATGCTCTAAGAAGCTTTTGAAATCTCATCCCAAATCTTTAAATCATTTTAGAACTTGACCTGCAGGGTCACAGGATTTTCCATCTCCATTCAGTTTATAGCCAGGTGCACAGGAGCAAACAACTTTGTGGGGTGGGTCATTGTTGCAAAAATGCTTGCATCCTCCATTCTTAGTAGCACAGGTTGAATCTGAAAGAAATTAAACCAAACCCTTAAGACACTTTAAAAGTGCAATAAATGCAAAGCATGTCACTGAGCTGTTTACTTAGGACCTAGCCCAGAAGTAATGGGTGGTTAACACTTCTCAAGATCAGGCCTTTAGACACCAGCATATAAACAACCCAAACTGTTGCATGGCAGAAGCAAATTTGCATCTTCCCTTCTTCCAATGAAAGCACTGATCAGGATGTGGTACAGACAGAAATTTGTGCCTGTTGTGTGTTAAAGGAACCGGAGTTAAAAAACCCATTTAATCTGAAAGCATGGCTAAATCCCTTCATCTTCCTTGAAAACCTCAACCACTGTATCTAACTCATGCACTTCTCCAAGGAATACATGTACAGCTTATGTGAGACCAAGAGGTTAAAGCATGGGCAGTCAATTATTTTTTGTCAAGGTCCAAATTTCTTGGCCAAGGTATAGTCAAGGTCCAGACTCCAGAGAAAATAATAACAGTAATTAATAAGTAAATAAAAAAATTTCAGGGTCAGTTCAATAACATCTGGCAGTCTGGATTTGGCCGGCGGTCCGCCTATTGACGACCCTGGGTTAAAGCCAATCTCCTCAAAACGGCAAATATCTGAGCTTGAACTGGATGAAACTGGTTGGAAAATGTATTGTGGAAAGTCATGGTGAAGTGGTAGCATCTGTGGGTCCCCTCATTTCTCTCTCTGCTGGAGAATGTTTTGGCTGGTGGACTTGGTTCTCATTGCCGATCCACTGGACCTGCGGCCTGCCCTGCACCTCCTAGCCAGCTATCAAGGAGACTGGTTTCAGAGATCTGCTTTGCAGTATGGAGAGGGAGCAGAGTCCACTAGGGCAGCCTCCTTCTGACAAACAATGACTTCAGAGAGAATGAGGCCACGCAGCATTTTGAAGCTCTCAGGGACTTGGCAGCTCCACTTGGAAGGGTTTGTACAAATATTTGGCTACAGGTCACGTGGCTTCCCCACCATGCTCCTCCTCCCCCTTTCTTCAGTTTGGATTCAGGTGACCAGATGCCAGGTCAAAGTGTGCAGTGTAAACCTTGGGCTAGAACTCTGATTTCAGATTGGCTTGAACCCAGAAACTCAAAGCAAACGTCAGTTTAAACTGCCAGGTTTTGCATCAGAACTGAAGTAAAACCACAGATTACCCTTGACACAAAGCCTAAATCCTCCCTGACGGACACAAAAAGCTCACAAGCCTGAGCCCAGCTTTTGGTGAAACTAATCTTGGAGTTTATAGTGGAACCTTGTGTAATGCTGATGCCTCTGGGGGGGTCCTTGGCAGTCTATCTTGTTGCACGCATCTCTGCTGTCTAAGCAAAAAGAGTCAGCCCCCAGCTTCAGCCTCTGCCACTGACCCCACACTAGGTGGAGGTCTGGATAGGAAATTGAACTAGGAAGCGTCTGGAGCTTGGGACACACTTCCTCAGCCAGGAGGAGTCTTTGTAGGACATGACAACTTGAGGTGACGTTCTGTTTCCCCTCAAGTGGAGGCTTGGCCAAGTGCAGATGGATGAGCCTGCTACAGAGGTAGCCAAGAGAGTTGAGTCTTTTAGCTCAAGCAGTATAGGCTCATGCATGAAGATCCAGAGGTCCCAAGTTCGATCCCCACTGCTGATGACCAACCCAGGGGCATTCCCGTTACACTCATATTTTGTTGTGAACATTTTTGATGCACGCTCCCCTTTGCTTTTCTCTTTCTTTCTGGAATCTCATCCTCCAGGTGTCGAAAGTGACAAGTCAATAGACTTGCTTTTAATTCTCAGTGAGTTTTCAAATAACTTCACAGTAGATTAACTTTCCTCCCACTCCTCAAGGACACATCCATTCCTGTCGTCATGCTTACGTGATTGTTTACTATTTTTACAAAGTCACTTCATTTCAATTGCTATTTTAGTCCCAGTCTCCCATCCACCAGAAGACTGCAGTGGCTTGAGACCATTTTATATTTGCTGCAAATTTAAAACACTCTTCCAGACCCGCACCTCTTCCCTGCCAGAGTAAAAACACAAGTAGAAACAGAATCTCTTCTTGGTGCTCGTTCATTACGCTGGCTATACTAGATCAGAGGATGGACAGGAACAATGAGACAGTGAGATCCTAGCTCTTTAAACCATTAGTGGTTCTATTTTCATAATCTCCTGAGCCCTTCAGGAAAGTATTTGCATTTTGTTGGTCTTTGGAATCATATTGTGTGTGTGTAGTTGATCATTGCTCATTTCAATGTGTTGAGAGCTCATTGTTAAAAAGGACCCTGGGGGCTGTGCATGAACCAGTTGGGCAATATTCAACCCACCAGCACGGTAGCTCTGATCCTGCTCCCGCTGAAGTCAATGGGAAAACTCTAATTTGATTTCTGTGGGTTTTGAATCAGGCCCCATTCCTTTCTATCTCCCCAGAAAGTTGAATGGAACCATGGGGTGAAATCCTGGCCTCATTAAAGTCAATGGAAAAAATATTGTATTCTCTTCATTAGGCTCAGGATTTCACCTGTGGTGTTAAATAGCCCTGACTAATATAATCCATACAGGAAGGGCTTGTAATAGGGAGAGAAAGGAGGTTCCTGATTAAATATTTGCATTGGGAGATATGACATTACTGAGCAGGCTGTGAATCTGATTCTCATTTATAATATGTGATGGCTGCTACCTGGGCTAACACCAAGGTTGAAACCAGGGGACACCATAGCAAGAAGTAGAAGTTGCTTTAGCATGAGCTAAATAATCAGTCCTTACTAGCTGGGGTTGGGAGGGTAGCATCTCCTCTGTGGATTGGGCCCCGAAGGAGAGACCTGTAACACACTCACCAATGGGTTACACCTGAGTGTTGCACGGTCACTTACAGCAGTGCAAAGTGGGTATAAAAACCAGCCAATCAGAATGGAAGTTATTCACATCCATTTTGCCCAGGTCTAAGTGACTATGTATGGTGCAGGGCAGCAGAGAATCTGGCCCCTTGGTACATACCTAGCTCACAGTTCCTTCCTTCGTACCCTGCCAGACACCAACACACATAGGAACCGACATCATCTGCGCAACGGGCTCCATTTTTACACGGATTTGGATTACACTGGTCTCCATCTTGGAAATGAAAACAAGATCAATTAATTAGCAGACAAGGGTATTCATCACCTTTGCTACTCAACAATGAGTGTTTCCCCCACCCTACCAGGCTCAGGATAAAGAATGTTAAGTTAAGCTTGGACCTGAAAACTTCTTTTTAAGGGAAAATTTAGATTCTGGAAAACAATTGCATAACAAATTGACAGAGCAGCAATCCCGTGGTGACCTCTGCAGCTGCATTATGCACAAAGGCCTGATTTTGGCATCAAACCTAACCTCACTATAGTCTCTTGGTGTATTAATTCCCCTGACTTCAGTTGTTCTCTGTCGGTTCTCACTAGTGTGAGATCAGTCTGGTCCTATTTCTGATCGAGCTTAGAAAGTTGGAATTAGGAGGTGGATTTCCTTGAGAAGATGCAGAGCCAGTTGTCTCCAAATTAGGTTTTTGTTTTTTTAAAGTTCTCATCCTTCCTTGAAGAAGACTGTGGTGTGGCCACCTGGTTTTGAGCCTTTACTGTAAGACCCTGAACTTTAGGGCTCAAGCTTTTCTCCATTACTGTGAGGGCTAGAAACAGACTTCTTAAAACAAATGAAAGCTGAGATTCTCATGTTTTCCTGATGACAGGTTTCAGAGTAGCAGCCATGTTAGTCTGTATCCGCAAAAAGAAAAGGATGACTTGTGGCACCTTAGAGACTAACAAATTTATTTGAGCATAAGCTTTCATGAGGTACATCTGATGAAGTGAGCTGTAGCTCACGAAAGCTCATGCTCAAATAAATTTGTTAGTCTCTAAGGTGCCACAAGTCTTCCTTTTCTTTTCATGTATTCCTGTGAATCCAGGAGCTGGGGCTCTAAGGAAAACACCGATTATCAGAAAATTTGCAATAAACTCCCAGGGACTTGGCAACTGGATCAGTGATGCTGAATCTTAAGGAAATAAACTCTTAAAAGACAGAGCAAAGCCAAAAGGGAAGGGGAAGTGAAGAGTGCCCTGACACATTCATGTTACACCAGCAAATTCACCTGTTAATGCTTTTTTTTTTATCCTCTCTCTCCTTCCCCCTTGTTCCAATGCAAACATGGGGCAAAATATAACAAATTACAGAATGACCAGCTTGCAGGCCAGGGACTGGATTTTTTTGTCTCTCAGTGGAGCCCCTTATACTGCTGCAAGTCAGTGTAAAACTCTACCTCAACAACATGGTAGAGTTTTGCACCCACTTGCCACTTACACCAGTGCAGACACAAAGCACAGGGCAGCAGAGAATTAGGACTCAAATCTTGGAAACTGTCAAAAGGTTGCTTGTGTGGTGCAGAAGATGGCCTCTTACGGCCACATTCACCGCTGTGCAGAGAGTTAGGCCTATGCATCACTTAAGCTCTCAAATAGGGTTTAAGTGGTGCATAGGTCTAGAGTTTCTGCACGGGCGTGAATGTCATCCACGCAGCACGGAGACTGGTACGAGCAGCTCGTGAGCTAAACAAGTAAAACACGCACACTGATAAAAGGACAAGATAAGATTTTTTTTTTTTTTTTGGCAGGCGTCATTAGTTTCAACCATAGAAAAACAAAATACAGTATCTCAGTTTCATGACGATTGTTTTTTCAGGGGACAATTTTAAAATGCAAACGTAACTATTTTATTGAATAGTCTGGACCGACTCATGTGAACTGTTCTGTGTGTTCAGCCAATCTACGAAGCACTTCATTTGCTGAAACATCCTTAGTTTCATATATTTAGTGTTCATTGAATGTTTTTTTGTGGGTGTGTGGGGTAGTTGAGGTTAGGGACCAAGGAGTGAAGAGACAAATTGTAAGTGTGAAGCAGAGTTGGACAGGAGATGCAAAACAACTGTTTGTGAGCATTGGTTTGAATTCCAAACAGCTATCTGCTTTGGTCACATTTATAGCTCTCTTTAATACACTGTTTCCAAGCAAACATGATGTGCTCACACACATGTTTACAGAGGGGCCATTCATAGGAAGAGCCATATTTGCATGCAAACAGGGCATTTGCTACTGGCCATTTGTTCTCAGACCTTAACGTTTCATTTTTCCATAGGAGCTGAAACATTCTACATGGTTTACATGACCAATCACACATGACAAACAGCAAGTGGTCTGTGGGAACTCATACAGTGAAACTTGTTCACACAAGCTGATTGAACAAATGCAATAATGAATAAACTGATAAAAACCAATGCTGTGAATTATCTACAACCAGAACAGGGAAAAGGACTAAACTGGAGGGATATATTATTCATTATGCCTCACTTTGACTAGCTCTACTGTAGAACATATTCCATTAAATGGGAAATATTCTTTCAATTAATACCTGTACCTCCCATTACTTATAGGCAACTACTGAAAGGTGAATACAGGATGACCTTATGGTTTTTATGTATGAATGTGGAGGAAGCAAATCTCTTACCAATATACCCTTTCCAAAACTCCATCTGCAAAACAAATAGACAATAACATGAATAATTTCTCTTGATATTTAATTTGAAAATTAAATTACAGAACTAGCATGAAGAAAAGCCCCCAAAACTTTAGGTAAAGGATCCAAATAGAAAGTTTTTAGGGTTAAAATCCTTTTCACAAAGTGGGTCAGCACAGACATAAGTGCTTATGTGAGACTCGCATGAGCATAGGTGCTATGCTGGTCCATTGCACCCTTTGGGGAAAAGAGGCTTTTTCATAGAATCATCGAATATCAGGGTTGGAAGGGACCTCAGGAGGTCATCTAGTCCAACCCCCTGCTCAAAGCAGGACCAATCCCCAATTAAATCATCCCAGCCAGGGCTTTGTCAAGCTTGACCTTAAAAACTTCTAAGGAAGGAGATTCCACCACCTGCCTAGGTAACGCATTCCAGTGTTTCACCACCCTTCTAGCGAAAAAGTTTTTCCTAATATCCAACCTAAATCTCCCCCACTGCAACTTGAGACCATTACTCCTCATTCTGTCATCTGCTACCACTGAGAACAGCCTAGATCCATCCTCTTTGGAACCCCCTTTCAGGTAGTTGAAAGCAGCTGTCAAATCCCCCCTCATTCTTCTCTTCCACAGACTAAATAATCCCAGTTCCCTGAGAATCTCTGGATTAAGTTTAGAAGTGTGAGCAACAAGGGTGATATCGTGGTGGGAGTCTGCTGTAGGCCACCAGAGCAGGGGGCTGAGGTGGACGAGGCTTTCTTCAGGCAACTAACAGAAGTTACTAGATCACAGGCCCTGGTTCTCATGGAGGACTTCAATCACCCCGATATCTGCTGGGAGAGCAATACAGCAGTACACAGACAATTGCACTGCACATGCAATTTCCATGATTGTCTCCCTCCCATCTCTCCCTCAGTGAGTTCATAATGGTGGGTCTGGTGTCATTCTGCCATGACGACACTCACTGTTTTTTCCGTGTTTTCAAAGACTTCTCGCGCTTCTTCAAAACTGCATTTTTCTTCCTTACATTCTCTCTCGAGGTTCCCTGGAACAAACTCTTCCAGTCTATTTGAATTATATCTCTTCTGCCTGCGCAAAATTGAGCTTGCTTGTTCGTTTTTGATAAAAACTGCAATTAAAAAAACCCCATAGACCATAGTTACAGATGGCACATTCCCCTCAATGTTTTAACTGTCATGTTTAAGTGCTGTGTTCTCAAACACCATGTTTTCCACTCCTGTGTTTTCACCACCTAGGTACCATGGCTATGAGCGTATTGCACAAGCATAGTAAAATTCTAGTATACCTTATTCCGGAGGGTACCTGTATACACATAACTGTGTCCACACTAGACGCTGTAATCCTATGACTATATCAATAAAAAACCCACACCCATAACCAAAATAGTTATGCTGGTACAAAACCTTTGTGTAGACCAAGCCTGAAAATGCTTGTTGAGTTTAATTTTACCCCAGTGCAGAGGCTAAAGGCTTAAGTGAGAGGTAAGTACTGCACAAGATTTATGCAGGCCCCCTGCAGAGGGGTGAATTTTGTCCTAGAAGAAAATCAAAAGGAGAGGATTACTATTTGTTTTCACTTTTAAAACATTGTTTACATTTTTTCCAGAACTAACACAGCTTAAAATTATTGTTCTATTTACTCTTTGCTGAACCAGATCCCAATAACTCATCCTGTGGGGCTACCCTTTGGCAGATAAATTCCCCATTGAAGACTTTATTAATGGCAGCCTTGTGTGGGCAATATTTTATCAAAGTTTCAATGTTCCTGATTAATTTCTCCAATGTTCTAGGAACCACTGAGCTTTGTTTCACCTCACACCGCAAGCACTGTTCTGAGTGTGAGCAGATCTGCTTATTAAAACAGAGAAACTTCTTGGTCACCTACTTTACAGCCAGATTTTCAAGGCCCTTTCTTATGACTAGCAGGCTTACAGTGAAAGCCTCTCAATCAAAGCCTCTCATGGTCACTAGATGGCGCTGTCAGTTCTGCTTGGGGTTAAAGTTGGTCATTACGTTTGTGAAACAGTATTATGTAGCTTCTTGTTCATATAAGGTTTATACTATAACAAATTTCCGAGTGAATGGGAGTAAATTCCATTGGCCACTTGAGAGTTGGTGACAGAGAGAAGGGATAGCTCAGTGGTTTGAGCATTGGCCTGCTAAACCCAGGGTTGTGAATTCAATCCTTGAGGGGGCCATTTAGGGATCGGGGGCAAAAATAGGGGATTGGTCCTGCTTTCAGCAAGGGGTTGGACTAGATGATCTCCTGTGGTCCCTTCCAACCCTGATATTCTATGACTAGAAAGGGAACTTGTGAGGACTAGTAACTGCCAGACAGAATCTCTGTTTGCTTTTAGAAGGCTAGTTTCTGCTCTCACTTAGTGCCTAATTAAATGCCCCTTGAAGTCATCTGAGAAACTCGCACTGACTTCAATAAAGCCCTTACTCCAGATTTATACTTTGACCCCATTTGAGTTCATTGGAATTACCATTCTGCACTTACCCTCTGTAACTGAAGGCAGGAATTTGGCCCTTCAGATGGAACTCTATCTGCAAGTGATTATTCTGACTGCCAACTGTTTTTATAACAGTTTAAACGACTGCAAAACAAGTCTACCATTCTGTATTCCTTGTGCTGACACTTGCTTTCAATTAGCAAAGGCAACAATGGCGCCGTGAGAATTAAAAGCTTGATCTTAATAGAACTACTTTGCCCGAAGTCTTAATGGAGTAAAACATTATATTTCCCGGAAAGCAGGTCTGGTAGAGACTTGTGACTATTAATAAAAATTGTCCAATGGCAATAGTTTGGTTTGTGTTTGGGGGAGGGATCAAAACTTGATTTCCTTTCTCTTCCTTGAAGTTTTGACCATTGACCAGTTCACACTTAAAATGCAAAGGCGATCACTGTCAACAGATCACCTGTAGCAGCATCCATATGAGTAAAGATGGTTCTACCACCTTACCCTTTGAAAACAATCTGCCTCTTTTAGTGGTGAATGTGCTTTTGGGGCCTGCCATTTTGCATTTGACCTGTGCAAAGGGTCCAGTCCAGTGCAGTCCAAGACATGTTCAGCTCCATGGGCTCAGAGACAAAACTGATAGTCTGAGCTGCCTTTCACCCTGCTTGCTTTAGCAACTCTGCTGCCTTTTTCCACAATTAGTCTCCAGACTAATTACACAAAAACTAGAACATTAGTTGCAACCTTTTCACTTTATATCTCTTCTTGGACACTTCTAGCCAATAGGAATACAGCAGGCACCTGTTCCAATTAACCTACGTGCACCAGATATAGATGACAGGATTTCAGAGGGGTAGCCGTGTTAGTCTGTATCAGCAAAAACAACGAGGAATCCTTGTGGCACCTTAGAGACAAACACATTTATTTGGGCATAAGCTTTCGTGGGCTAAAATATTGGGTTCTAGCCCACGAAAGCTTATGCCCAAATAAATGTGTTCGTCTCTAAGGTGCCACAAGGACTCCTCGTTGTTTTTGCAGCGCTAGATGGTAACTCTTCAGCTGCCTCATTAAAATATAATGCAAAGCACTCCTCTAACTCCAGTTACTGCCATTCTGCCATTCCAGTTAATGCAGTCATGTACTGATGCTGCAGAATGCTTTAAAAACAAACCAAACCAACACCCTGGACAAAAGGCTACAGGCCCACTTGGGGAACGGGCACTTTATTCCATCCCCAGGGACGCCTCTGGCTGGAAGCAACTGCCAGTAGCTAAGTAGGTGAATCTGAGAGTCAATGGAGAGACAGGTTTCAGAGGAACAGCCGTGTTAGTCTGTATTCGCAAAAAGAAAAGGAGTACTTGTGGCACCTTAGAGACAGTTTAAATACACTTTCTCGGTGCCTGGGTCTATGAGTTTCCAGTATCCAGGTCTAACACAGAATTCTGTGGCAGGCACATCTCACGGGGCATGGGAAGAATATTTTGCCACCGTTTGCTTTCAAGAAGTATCGCAATACTGTGCTTTAGGCTCTCAGCTCTAATCAGTGAGTAAGCACACTAGAAAGAATATTTTATCTTCCCAGCTAGGACAGGCTGTCTGGTTTGAAGTGAAATAACAATATAGTACTCTGCACCGATATATAGTCCCTTCCACCCCCCACAACACAGCACAAACATGGATACAACCTCATAATCCCACCTGAGGGGGCATGGTATCCTTCCTATGTAGGACTGGGTCCTGCTTCCACTGAGGTAAATGGTAAAACTGCCTTTGATTCCCTTAATGCAGGATCATGCCCCTGGACATGAGGAAAGCTAGGCAACAAATGGTGTGATAGTTGGTGTATCAGCCTCATTTCTATGAGAAATGTCTGCTCTTTGGCCAAACTGTTCTCTTGCACGCTCATGAGCTTAGTTTAAAATACTGCATTTGAATTCAGCCCGAATTTGGCATTTAAACAATCTTCACAGTAGCAAATCCAAGGACCATGTCATGTATTTATTGGTCGGTCTACTGGACAATTTGTTCTGGGATTCCAATACACAGTAAAAGACACAGACGCTAACTTGTAAATATTTTTTCCTCCTATTGTTTTATTTGTATTAAAATGGCTGAATCTAGAGCAAGTCCTTGAAATGAATAGTTATAAAATAAGTATCAGAAAAGTCCCATTCTTTAAATAAAAAGCAGCAAAGCAGTTAATCTTATCACCATAAAACCCCTATTTTTTTTTTTATTCTTAAGAGCAAACATATTTTTAAACAGAGAACTTGTAAAATTCAGCAGTCTTACTATGTGAACTTTGTTGCTGGTAAATGATTTATTCCTTATCAGAGGACAGAAACGTAATCCGATCTATGAGAGCAACTAAAAAGCAGAGGACTTGCTAGGTTTAAAATGAACCAACCTGTACATTCGGCACTGAGAAGAGATCCCAAAAGACCAGTTATGATCATGAGAGAGGTTTTTGCCATTTTCGTGTACCAAGCAATCCTTTCGCTAATGAATTGTGCAAGTATAGAGAAGCTGGAGCAATAGTTCCAAAGTACAGGCTCTTGTTTGCTTACTTCGGGTAACCCTTTAATTTAAGGTCCCCAAATGTTCATTTGACGAGGATTCTCTGAAATGGTAGCTTGGATGTGAAAGGAGGAGCAACCACCCCAACTTTGCATAGGATAAACCTATTGCATAGTTTCAAACCCCAAGAAATATCGTGGGCCGGGTTAGGTGGGTTTATATTTGCTGTTGCCCATGTAAAAGAAACAGCCACAGAGCCCAAGTTCTAGAACCAGTGGCAAATTCATGCATGGACCTACAGAGCCCGTGCCCAAGGGGCTGCCCAGGACAGGTGGAGGGTCCAAGGCTCCCTACAGGGGCCCAGGCTCCCTTGGAGACTCTTACCACAGCCCAGCTCCGGCTTCCAGCCTGGCCAGGGGGCACAGGGCTGGATTAATGCAGGGGCTTTAGGGGCTGCAGCCCAGGCCCCCGGGCTAAGGGGGGGCCCCGGTGCAGCAGAGCTCAGGGCGCACAGGGCTCAGGGCGCAGCAGGGCTCACTCCTGGAAGTGGCTGGCTGCTGGCACATCTCTGTGGCAGGGGGAAGGGGAGGCGGCTTCGCACACTGCTCCCTCCCCCAGTACCGACTCCACAGCTCCCATTGGTGCTTGCAGGAGTGGCGCTTGTGGGCATGGGCAGCGCATGAAGACACGCTGTCCCCCTCCACCAAGGGCTGCGCAGAGACGTGCCAGCAGCCGGCCACTTCTGGGAGCACCGTGGGGCCATGGCATGCAGGCAGCCTGCCTGAGCCCTGCTGTGCCGGTGGCTAGGAGCCACCTGTGGCAAGCACCTCCCGGCTGGAGCCTGCACCTCGCACCCCCTCCTGCCCCCCAACCCTCTGCCCCAAGTCAGCATCCCCTCCTGCACCCAAACTCCATCCCAGAAAGAAACTAATATAACAGCTGTGCTAAGGTAAGAAGCAGGCTATTTTGAATTAACTTAACTATATTCTACATGTTTTAAGCCTGAAATGTAACCACAGAACGACTTTATGTTAATTAAAAGGCAAGTTTCGTATAGCGTTAATAGCCTCAATGCCATAATTGTGATCATTTTGTTTTAAATTAGGAAAAAAGACTTGTCTACAGGGGCCCCACAAAATTTAATAGCCCCAGGCCCACAGGAGCATTAATCCGGCCCTGAGGGGGCAGGGTCTTGGGGGGAAGGGGAGGAGCAGGGGGCAGGGCCCCATGGTGAGGGAGATTCAGGGTGGGGGGAATGGTCTTTGTGACCAGGGCTCCAATAAATCTTAATCTGCTCTCTGACCAGACCATCAGCTGGGGTGAGCTGATAATGCCGCAAACTCCTCTATGCTGGCAGACCTGTAGAGGTCCGTGCAAGCCAAGAAGTGGATGGCGCATAGCCAAGGAATGTGCCGACTCAGTTATCTCCACTGGGTCCTGTTGCAGAACCTCTTGAAGTCCAGGGAAGCCCCAGTGGGGTTTGAATAGTGTGCTTAATGCAGCCCTCCACAGTGGAAAATCTTAAATATTGCTCTCTGTTTCACCCCAATTTCACCCGCTGTGGGTTATTGCAGGCTGTAAGTGATATAATTTGCACTGGCTTCTGTGATTCCAGCCCCAATCAATTGTTTAGTAACATGAGCTCTGTGTTCATGGGGTTCTCTACTGTAAGTGTGAATTAAATGTGTATTCAGGGAAGCTTGATGTAATGCAAACATGAGAAACAGAGTCAAGCCCAGAGGTGTGTACTAAATGCCCCCAACTAACCAGGCAGAGCAACACCTACTGAAAACTTTGAAACAAAGAGTGAGATTCTTCACTCCCATCTGGGTAAAAGGGTCAGGGGTTTGAAGTCCATGGCAAAATTCCTAGTGACTTTATGGAGCCAGAATTTCACCGTGGAATAACATAAAAGGGCTCTAAAAACACCAGTTCCAGTCAGAACAGGACTCCCCTGGTGCAGGCTCTATAGAAGACTGCTGTAAGGCTGCTTTCCAAGGACCCCGTCAAAAGCCCTGATGTTGGCCAGGAGCAGGGCTGGAGACGGGAGAGGTGTATCGGGGTCATGTTAGAGGGGCAGCACAGTCTCACTCAAAGTATCTAAAGAATACATGTCAAAGGGGATTGAATGTGATCTTTGGGCCGATAGCGGGGTGGTCACCCTGCTCCGGTGTGGAAGGGGTTAAAAACAGTCCTGGGGAGCCAATCAGGGCAGGGCTGGGAATATAAGAAGGCCTAAGGGAGGAGCTGGGTCAGAGTCTCTCTCCAGCCTTCTAGGGAGAAGAATCTAGTTGTCTGGGAGAAAAGGGTACCTGAAGCAGGGCAGGGCAGGGCAGGGCTGGGGAGCTCCAGCCTGGCAGAAGGCCTAAAGAGGTCCTGGGGCTGCAGAGGTGTAGCCCGGGGATAGGCAGAGGCAGCTGGTCCACCCCCCTGCCGATGATGAGTGGCCATTACATTGCAGTTTGCCCCAGTGAGAGGGGGCCAGATGATGACGGGCAGTAGCCACTGAGGCAAGGTGGGGATAGAGGTTTGAGGGTTCCCCTGGGAAGGGAGACCCAGAGTGTGGGGGTGCTGCTGGGGCAGAACCTCAAGGTAAAGGGGCACTGGGGTCTGGGAAGGACACGGGGGCCTGAGGCAGGTGAGACACCGGCACCACACCGGCGAGTGTCGATCTGCTACAGGGCCCCTTTCTTGTATTTGAGATCTGTTAGTGCAGAACCCTGCAGCCATGTGGAATCCGGTTGGTTTTCCTGATTGCAGGGCCTTGGTCAGTAATTGGTTCCTTGCCCTGGGACCATATATATGCTTATCTTAACTGAGCTGATAGTATTGTTAAACTGCGTTCTAATCTAATACAATGCCAATCAAATAGCCTGCCTTTTAAGAGTTACAGTCTGCTCTTTTTACCCAGGAGACCCTTGTTCTCACCTACCTTTCTGCCAGGAGTTTGCCCCGCAGAATAGATGACTAATGTGCTCATGACTTACACTACAGAATCAGGACTCAAAATTGTGGCACCAAGTACTGATATAAGTGATCCTGCTTTAAATGAGAATCTCTGTGCCGGAATGAATAATAGACTTAACTGGCAACTGCAAAAGATACCCAAACCTAAAGATTTTAAATCAGGATTGCATTTTAAAGAATCTGTTTGGTATGTGGTGCTATTACCTCTCTGTATTAACTCTAATAACTTTACTAGAAGAGAGGAAGAGCTGTGACTTTTCCTTTGAGGACATCTGGAGGGAGATGATCTTTGACAAGCATCCCCAGGTCTTTGCAAAGCAAGATGGATATTCTATTACTGTAATTGCTATAGAATTCTGGAGAGCATTTCACACCGTAATAAACAGGCTAACTGCTTATGCCCACAAACAGGCTAACTGGATTCCATGTGGAATAGAATATGTGAAGTCCTGAATGCACCAGTATGGGGGAGGCTGGAGAATGACCTCTCCCTTGCTATGAGGTTATGATGGCCCTTGGGTCATTGTAAAAGTGTTTGAGTTTATGAACCGTGAATGCTGTGCACTGTGTCCAAAACATTAAAAATGTTCCTTCCTGCAGCTGATGTGAGAGACATTTACGGTTGTGGAGGTGTTTTGGAGTCACTTTTTGACTAAGGGGAGAACTGATAAGCTGCAGATTAAAACAAGAGGAGCTAAAATTGAGTTATGGGTTTGTAAAATCTGTTGCACTTTGCCAGCAAAGATCATTTATTTTTTGAGACGTGACGTTTCATCTCATTTTGGTTTGCAGTGTCTGAAATTGTTTGTGTTTGACATAGCCGGTAGGGCTTCCAAGGGACTATTATCAAATTTCCACTCTACATAGATGAGTTAAGATGTGTTAATGTGTTTGTGATGTAAATTGAATGCAAACTAGAGAGGGTAATAATCATCCCGCATTTTCTGTGTATAAGAACATGCAAATGTGGGAAAATAAGAGAAGCAAATTGGTATAAAACAATGAAACAATATGTGTTGCACAGATAAAAGGAACGTGCAGAATAGCCAACTCTAACAAACAAAGGACAATTAGATTCTCATTATTTTTGAGGTTTTTTTAATAAGAACATAGTTCAGTCAAATTATTTTGGTTTATGGTGCATGTTTCAGTTCTAATAATATTTGCAACATTAATGCTAATTAATCTCCACAGAAAATGCCATCATCATTAGACTAAACAAGGCCATTAATATAAGCCATTGTATAAGTCCACAGTAACTGCTATCAATTATTGTGGCACCAAATGAAAATAACAAATTTATCTTTTATTTATTTCATTTGCAAACAAAATCCGCAGTGCTGGGATTTGCACAATACCATAAGTACTTTGGAGAGCGAAGCATTCTTGTTCTGTTAGATCCCAGCAATGAAATATTGGTCCAGCTTAATTTTGATTTAAAATGGTCAAGTTCTCAAAATGGGGCTACTTAAAATTCAGAATTAAGTTCAGTGCTCTCCCATAACTGAGATTTCTGTAACAATTACAGCTGTCTGGAGGATAATTCCATTTCGTGGCAACTTTTGAGGCTTCAAAATTTGTTTTTGTTCCACACTGGAATGAAAACAAAATCTTGTGAAGGTTTTCAGGAAACAGAATTGGGTCAAAACATTCACTTTTGAATAAAAAAGGTCAGGTTTTTGATTCGGGTCGATCTTTCTCTTGTTGGAAGTGACCACAGCCCTGGAATTTGGAAACAGTCCTCTCATCAACCTTGTTAAAATCAATGCATCTCCACAAAAGGCTTTGAGGAAAGAGCATGTCAATGAAAACATTCTGACCAGCTCTTTGTGGAAACTTAGTAACATCAGCTCTAGTAACATTACTCATCAAATTATTTTTTATAACAAGGCCACCTTGCTATCTGCTCACTTCCTATGGCTATTCTGTGCTTTCAAGAATTTTGTAGAAGAGCCTCTGAATATTGTATGTGGAAAGTCTTTTGTAACTGGACTAAAAATAACTTCATTCAGAGGCAG